CACATATAATATATATACACATCTACTATGCTGCGAGATATGCATTATTTCAATAACATTTCCAATAACATTATTTCTAAACACACGAACGATATTTTAAGTTTACGTACTTACGTGGATATTTTAAGCAATGCGTTCTGTCATGGATGTTATAACGTAATCGCCAATGTTATTGTTATTTCAAAGATGTCTATGTAACGCTATTTTGTAATTAAATATCTGATTATACACTATTAAAAAGTTTAGATATACCTTGAGGAGAAGAAGATCGATCCAACACCCCGGGATTGCACGCGGGAACGTCGCGGAGCAAAACCTTGAGATTAATTCTTGCCAAAGATCCCTCTCCACCGTCGCATAGTCTCTTACCGTGTCCGACGTGGGCATCCAACATTGGTTTGCTTGGTCCCTAAATAGATCACAAGTGTCGCTGAATAATTGATAATACAAGATAAACGGAGTGAGGTACAAAAAGACGCGCTACAATCTTCGTCGTACCGAATATTTCGCCAACGCTCACCTCGAGAATGCTATTATTGTCTGCCATGTTTATTGATTTGTTGAGCGCGCCTTTCGAAGATCTATTTCTAACGGGTTTTTCGTCCTGAGAAATTACCCGCGAAAATTTGAGAACCAAGACGCGCCCTCGCGGTATGCGTGGGCTGCCGAAAGCGCCGACTAGCGACATCTAACGTTCACGCTCGTCACGCTCACATGGCCGGTTATCTAACCGCGGGATAACAAGTAATCTGTTCTTTTCAACTGCACTGCTACACTTGTGCAATAAGCTAAAGTGAAATAAAATATATTTGCCTCACTCTAACTTATTGCACCAGTGCAACAGTGCGGCTGAAAAGAACAGACCTAAGGCGTAGGAGCGCGTATGCGCGAGATTTCATGGGTGCAACAATTTTGACGAAGCCCGGCGAGTCGAGAGGTTATGGCAAATGGATTAGGTTGAGAAAACCTGCCGAGGCACATAGGTTCATCGGTAAATCTCGATGCCATGAGAACTGCACAACGTTCGCTACAACGGCGTACGATGATACTGCAAGATGTTACGTCGACGTCAGCCTTGAGTTAAAGCGGAATATGGATAATTGTCTACGATTGATTATCTACAGGGACAACGCGATTTTCGATAATGTTATTATTAGGCCAGAGTGTGTGGTCAGACATGAGCAGATTACCGGCAATCAACAAAGGATCAACACATCCGCACAAGACGAGGACACGAGTGACAAGTGCGCAACTCGTCTGTGTACGAGGGGATTAATCTCTTACCTCGTCTCGGCTTACATTGCAACTCTGTCAAATTCCTACGTTTATCGCAACAGTGCTCTAAGAGCGCTGTTCAGGTGGTTGCACGTTAAACTGCACGATAGAAAATGTGTACAGATAATATTTATAAGATTGAGGATGCCAAGAAGGCAGTTCTTGGACTACAAATGGTAAGATCTCACAGTGCCAATTAAAGCTGATTGTTGTTACTTTATTTGACATTTACATCTTTCCAGGAACGAGAGATTAACGCAAATGGTGTTGGAGAGGCAAGAAGCTGATCACACTATGTCTTGGTTATCCACTTTAGGAGGAGCATTCTCAGCACTGGGTGAAGAATTCGAACACTGTGTAAGTTACTCCTGCTTTTATACATACATGTCTAATTATGTGATATATTTTAATTAATTTATATATTTCTTATCCAGGCTAAGATGGCAGGCAAGATTTCAGTAAGGCAGTTTGAATTGGCATTGCGTCTTGATAATCCACTTCTTGTTGCTCGTTGCAGACTATATTCTGCTTTGAGTTTGATTCAACGTGGTTACTTCAGGGCGCCGAGGTATATAATCAAACAGATCTACAAGTTTGCACTCGAAGAGAAGGACTGGCGTCTACAGAACATGTGCCATGGCATTTGGGCCAAGTTGCAATACTGTCACAAGCAATACAAGCAACAAAAGAAACTCACATCGTCCAAAGCCTCACATATATCGTCGAAAGTTTGAAGCGTTTAACATTTGTATAAAAGATTCACTTTTGTAACAGCACATTGATAATATAGAAATTGTTTTAAAGTCGCAAGTTCCCCTCCCCCATGTCTAGCAAAACTTCTCTCGATTGAGGTAAATCTATGTGGCTCATACAATCTTGTATAAGGTAAATGTCCCAATGATTGAACTAACAAAAATGCAATTTTACATTTTTATTAATATTAAGAAAAAAATAAGTTGCACTATTAAATATTAATTTACTAATAATTACTAACGTTTATATAAAACCTTGAAATTAGTCAGCAATTGAGAAATAATAGAGAATAAAATTCAATTATGAATATCAATTATAATTTTAATGATGTATTAGATAATACCGATTAAATATCAGTAAATGAAGTGAAAAAGTGAATCGTGTCCTAATTACCGAATAATACAGACTTAGTGATTGGATGGTCATTAAATACCAAGTAGAAACAAAGATATCCTTCAACAAAGTTTCAAAGGCGTTCTTTTTTCTTTATAAATAAATCTATTAATAATTCGGGAAAATGAACAAGGTTCATTTACCTTATAACAGACCGTAACAAATTCACAAGACAGTTTGAGCAAGAATCCTCTTAATCATCCTCTGGCAAATCATTTTATTGAATTTTACATATCTATCCGTATTGTTCTATTGCTTTTACCTTGTAGCATGTGCACGTGCGATCCTTAAGATTAACATGCACAGAGATACGAGTGCCTCTCTACATGTCGCGCTTTAACGCGGTTAAATCGCGAGAATTCCAGTCGTAAGGTACATAACACGCCGGAAAGTGGTCTGTAATCTATACTTATTTTTGGTTTCACGAGAGGTTGCTTTGTTTTACTGCGTTATAAACGACGTGTTAAAACGACCACCATTTGGTTACTCATGATGCAAGGATCGTCCGGTACATTAATGTCTACCATAAGGTCAAGTATGCGATTCAACGTTCTTCGCTCTCTTTTGCGAATACATAACGTTGCGCAAACGTTCTGGAAATAGCGGCACGCGTGAATCGTTAATTATTTACCTCGTGATTTCAATTATATGGTAACTCATACACTCAGTCTTGACGGTCTAACTTAAACGTCACCCTTTGTAGTATACTGTAGTAAACAAAATGCTCTTGCGATCCGTATGAACGACAAAGCCATTGCTTCCTTTTCAATACTGCAACATTCTCTTGCAAGGTATAAAATAACGGTATTTTGTACAATCGCGCTGTCCCCGAATTTTATCTTTTCCTTCTTTCTCTCTTTTTTTTAAATACTATATTTCCTGTATGCTTCAAGTCTGTTCTCCGTAATGCGAAAAAAGTTTTGCCATAATGTTGTAATTAGCTCTACTCTATCATCAATAAGCGAGTGTGCCCATAGGATCCCACGCAGGCAGAGTGATCGGCTCCTGATCAAACACTGCCATCACATCTGGAGGTACATATTTCTTGTCCACCACCGCCTCAAAGACAAAGTTGGCGAACCAGTCGGTGCTCACGACGTGATAGCCTTTCTGCCCGTGATCTTCGCCCCACGAGTTTTCTATCCGAAATTTCTTTATCTTACCGTCTTTCTGAAATAAAGATTAAAGGAAAGAATTAGTCGAATAATCGACTGAGATGAAAATTCCTACATCCATCGCACGAGAAGGTACTCACAGGGTCTATTGAGACAGCGGTCAACGCCATCGCGTGCACCATCATGGAGTCTCCGAAGAGCAGTCTGTCGGCCTTGGAGAGCCCGACGTGCATGTCTGTGCCAAACATCAGCTTGAAATTGTACGCGCTCAGATCGTGGATGCCATGCTTATCTATTGATCTCTTATTGACATCGCAACCGAACCAAACGGGTTCATTATTTTTTATGCTCTCGGCACACAGTTTCATTAGCAGTTCCACGGGTTGGTTATTGTAGAGAGTGGTTCGTCCGCTAACGACATTCCCCAGGCAGTCCACAGTGTAGAGCTTACCATAAGGATTGCTTGGACGCGGATCAGTCACCAGGCACACTTTATCATTCACGTCGAAGTACGGCTTCACGTGGAGCTCGTAGAAGTTCAGCGGCGTGATGGGTCCCACGCAGTTGTAATTCTTCACTTTGTCGTAGTACTCCCATGTGATTTTTTCAGAGGGTATTCCCAGGCAAATGCCGATTATCCGATACATTACCGCCATCTGCTCCTTCAAGCGCTCCTTCAGCTCCTCGTCGGTAGCGCCATTGTCGATTAAATCCCTCAGAGCCTTGGCGTATTCACGCAGCTTGCTCTTCAGCAGACTGTTCATACGTACGCTCGACTCACAGCTGTAGGACTCGGGAAAACAGGCCTTCGGGACAACACCATGCCTGGTTATGAGATTGACAATCATATCCCATTGGCCACCGTCACAAGTGGGATCAGATAGTAGAAAAGAGACCAGACGGCCCTCCACTGGCTCGCCGCGTTTTGCGGTCTCTATGATGTTATGTAAAAAGTAATTGCAACGTTCTACCTGTAAGAAATACGGAATGTAATGTGTCAATATATTTTAACAAGATGCATTGCATTGCTTCTTAAGATGTTGACTGCCAATATTGACTTCCACTAATTGTTTCAATGATTAATTCTAGTTTAGTTTGATTAAACTTAATTAAACTTGTTTTGGTTTAGATTACTAATTTGTTTTTCAGTGTAGTTTAACTTCAATTTAACTTAACTCAAGTTTGAATCACCAAAGATGAATAAGTATAATTAGTCATGCATAATATTTGTTAGCTCGTATTTGTTGGTTCTCTATTAGTTATATGTTTAGTTTTTTACATGCAATCATTATATTTTATAATTAAAGAGTTTATTCATCAGATATGTATTTTATAGCACCTCAAAGGAGCTGCTCATAAATTCACTATTTATCATTCACTATTTATCAAAATTACATTTTTATATATTTATTACCATCTAAGTAATAAATGTTAATTTGAAATTAACTTCATGATATTACCTTGTTTCACAATGTTACAAAGCTTCAAATCAAGCTACAAATGCTTTCAAAGCATAAAATAGCATTTTTTGGCTTACAACTGAAAGTAACACAAAAACAATGTAGTGAATAATATCCTTTCTTCTATACCATGTTTCCCAATATGTAACATTTATAATGGTAAATCATTTATTTCCCTAACAATATTAGGATATCGTTTTTTATGAATTACTAAAATAATAATCATCCTATATTGTTTCTATCATAAAGTGGTATATGTAAAATTCTATCATAAAGTTGTATATGTAAAATCGTGAATCAGTATTAAGTTTCTCATAAACAGTGCAAATAAATCACATGAAACTTTAACTATGAAAGTGTTTTACTGTGATTAATAATGCATTAAATTTTTGTATAATTTGAGATACTTTGGTTTAAGTAAATAAACTCCTTAAATTAGTGCGACACAGCAATATTGTAACACAGGTCACTGATGACTACTGTGGCAGTCAACGAGTTGGATGCACAATGATATCTATATACCTTATCCCAGAAGAACAGGTAAGCCTGGCTAAATTCAAACTCATCCAAATTGTGATGCTTCATGAAGCTGGTCCTCATGACATTCAGGATAGCAAACAACCAACATCTGCCAGAGTTCTTCTGGTTGGTCATTGGCTTGCCTTCCGCCTCGATCTTATGGGTGAAGACATGCTGTGTCTCCTCCACGACTTTCCTCGAGACGCAGGCTTCGATGGGATTAGTTTTCGTGCAAACATTCTGCGCCAGCAGATTACGGCTGTCCGCATAAAACTTTGTGCGCAGCTCGTCGAGTACCTCCGGTGACAAGCTATCTGCATAAACAGGAAAACAGAATGTGCATTTAATGAAAATTCCGCGCGGAAAGTGGGGAATCAGCGACAATGCTCGACCGCGCGTCCCAGACAAATCGCATTGTCACCCGCAGGCGTCACAATGGGCGAGGAATGCGCTACCTTCTTTGTTGTATTTTCTAGAATTTATCTTATCTACATGCGCACAAACGGGAATATTCGCACGACTTGACGCGAGCGTACGAACAACGACTCAAAAATTATTAATAGCCAGCCAGGGTGTGGCTTGCATCGAAGCAAAAAATCGGCCACGCTCAAAAGGTTAAGGGTGGTCAGTTATGGTTTCTCGCGTATTTCACGGTCGGAAATCCTAATATCTCCCGTGTGAATGACCGTTTCAGACAAAACATCCTTTTCAAAAAGAAAGGATAGATTCTTTGTGTAATCTGGGTAGACTTACAAACAACCATTGTGACGGCACGTAACCAATTCCAACGATGCTCTTCTGTATCACGCTGTGCTTACACAGGCTAAGCGCACACGCTTTTATCCCGTGATCGATAGAGAAAGTAAGATGCACGTCGTCCTATCTCGCTCGCGCGCTCGCATATCTCGCTCCCCTCTCCTCTCTAATATGTTCTACATTTCCGCCCGCCAAGCACAATTCGTATGGATTTTTCGAATTGGCCCAATGAACTCATAGGCAAACATTTGAGAAATGACGAAATGGATCAGGTGTTTAATTATTTTAAAAATAATCCTGTGCAATAATCATATTCTCATTAATGTTGTAATCTTTCTCATTCTTGTAATTTCTTTGTGACTTGACATTATTGTCTCAATCAGCTAAAGCTGGAATACTCTTTACACAATAAATTAAAATATTGCGAGCAGATATTTTTCTATACTATTTTCTTGTTATATTTCAGATATATGTGGGCTTTTGTATATTCCTCTGTATATAAATCCATTTATATATTATTTTGATAAATTCGAAATATCATCAGAACACATAACTCTCTAAAGAAAATAATCACATCTCTCTTTCTCTCTCATAACAAATCATAAAAGATTTTCGGGAGAAAATATATACATTATAATTTTATTGAGATTGGAAAAAATCGATTTTCATGAGTTATCACAAATCTTTATCGTAAATTATATACCAAACTTATTCAACAATCTCCGTCTTTGTCTATATTTATAAACCATCATATATTTATCTAAGGCATACGCTTAGCTAGTTGTAATCAAGGTAATTATTATCCCATTCGTCTCCGGAAAGTTAAACCTCCACGTTAGGCGAGGATTCTTCTGCTTTCGATTCCAAAGAGAACGGTGGTATTCTACAATCGAACGCGTATCCATCCTCTCTCTCCATCCTAAATGTACCCCTGGAAACGAGTAAATTTAACAAATAATTATGCTGCTTTCACGCTGATAAATGAGACTCAAGTAACAATGCCTACCACATATGACCGCTAGGAGCTTGCAAGCTCACGTGACTACTATATTGGAAAGCAGGTAAAGCTTTCGACAACACCGGTTCTTGACCGACTACACCTCTCCCTCTTACAGTTTCCAATGTGCCCGACAAACTAAATATTCGCCAATGCCTCTCGCGCAGCTGCACGCTTAATTCACCTAAATTCTCCAATCGGATACAATAACGCCACTGTAAAATAAAAAATACAATAATAAAATTAGCGCTTGAGAAATTTATTCACCAGGTATGCATTTTTAGGCCATCCAAAGGGCGTAT